GCTGATTGGCTGGTAAGCGAACGGCAGGTGATCAGTCGGCAGTTGTAGGGGAAAGTATCCACTACAAAGCGACAAGTCCAGAAAACTATAAGGGCAAACTTTTTCGGAGTGAGAGTTGTAAATTCTTGGAACAATCGACCAGAAGTGTTGTGACTGCACCGAGTGTGAGCTCTTTCAAGAAAAGACTTGACCAACACTGGAGCGGCTTCAGGAGCATTCAGGAGCCGGTGCATGCCCAGTACTTGCCAACAGTGCGTAACAGAGACGTGACCGATTGCCCAAGCGGCTAACGAGCCGATCTTTCTGTGAAGAGGATAAAAGAAAAGCAAAAGTAATCAGAAATATGACCGATCGCCCAAGCGGCTAACGAGCCAATCGATGGTGGTGAGGATAAATATATATATATATATATATATATATATATATATATATATATATATATATATATATATATATATATATATATATATATATATATATATATATATATATATATATATATATATATATATATGCTGATAACCACACGGAAAGAAGAAAATACAAAGTTCCCAAGCGCTTTCGTGTAATTCACATCTTCAGGGGTGAGTACAGACTGAGGAGAAGTACAAAACAAGGTGTATATATATACAGAGGAGGGTGAGATCAAGTTCACAATGGTCAGTATACTGCCAGACTGGGGTCACTAATTCTAAGGGGGAATACTTAACTCTAATCTTAATTTCTAAGGGTCGCTGCCACCAGACCCTCTCTGGACAGTATGTAACTCGTTAGGTAGCGGGCAGAGTGGACAAGGCATTGGGTTAGATTTTTCAGTGACCAGATCGATAAGGGGAAAGAAGGGTGAAACCATAACATGTCTTAATTAATTTATTCTTTATAAACTATATGGCAACAAAAAAAATACAATTGAGCTGGCCTTCCTCAGAAGGACAACGATGAGTTTGGTTACCCTGCTTACAATCTCATTTAACACTTCGGACTGCTCCACCTGTATGGAATATCGCACCTTAGGGCATCATACATAGTAACACCATCTCACCTCCCGGTAGCACCAGTTCACCACACCTGTTATACTCCACACCTGCAAGTATGGGACTCCTTGTGATTTCTAGGTATACATAACAGGTACCTCGTTTGCACACCGCCCTCGGTGGGTAGAGACGAGGCTACACCAAGAGACATACCAGTACTATTTCTACGCCTGGTATTATAGGTCGCTCCAAGTGACGACCGCGGAGTTTCTCGAGCATTTCCTTATTTATTCCTACTCATTTGGGGTGGCCTGCTGGGGATCCACAGGTTCACAGTGGAATAGTATAGCTGGTAGTCACCTCACATGGTGGGACGCTCACAGGGAGAATGGCCGACACCCAGCAAGGTGCTCCGACCGCGTGTGACCTGAGGTGACGGTAGAACGGAGGGTACTGAGAAATAATGCCTGACGGGCGGTTATCACACACCCTAACACATTACTATTACACTTATGCATCAGGCAAAGCTTTAAACTGTAATAACTTCTATATAAGCCTTAATTACAGGGTAGAATATAGCCCAATAGGACACTGACCTGAGGTGACGGTAGAATGGAGGGTACTGAGGGCAGTGCCCCGCCGCTCATCACCGCGTAGGCCTACAGTTTCCAATCTTTAATTTTTACTTTTATTTCTTACGGTTCTCACCTGAACACTTTTCGGTATATTGTCACTCATGCCGTATAAACACATATTTTAATCCTAAATTACACACTAAGGTAAGGTCTTGGTTAGCTAGTTCGTGGGTAAATTCATTGGGTTATAATATCAACGAGGCACTGTTATTAGGGATCCTCCTCTCACACATTGCACTCTTTGAACACAGACATAAGATTCTCTGATCACTGTACATGTCGTGGGTATATGTCACGTGAGGATACGAGGTGTATTAAGTTCACACTGACGCATACAAGATATTTCCTTTCAAGTATAGTTTCTGGGTCACCTCCAACACCTCACATACTTCTGATACATTTATCCTTTTTCCAGATCATTGTTCTCATGTATTTTCGTATGATATCTGTGGAAGTTATGTTCGCTACACGTTCACAGACGTAAATAGTGTGACCTTCAAACCATGATCCACACTTAGTCCTACAGTACACTAGTCCGGCTCAACTGGACTTTCCCAATCATCTTATGGATACCCTGAGTTCTCCTTAATGCTATGAATACATACAATTATTATTATATAACTGTACCTGGGTACATTGCAACACATGGTCTAGTAACATTGAGTAGGGCAGTTATCCTTTATCAATGTTTCCCGTCTTCTGAGATTCTACAAGCGCGGTGGATTTGAATGTTATATAGCGTAATATGAATTAAATGGGTTTTTAGGAATGACAATGATGTGCGCAGTACATCAGGTATTAGGTAATGACCCTAGTAGTCTTCAAAAAGCACCGCAGCAGTCGGTACTAGTCAGGTCAGAGGGTAAGCTGACCCAACCTTCTCACCTGGTTACAAATTTTCTTAATTACGAAATTATCCAGTTTGTACATACCATTACTCAAATTCATGTTGACGGATTCGGTATGTTTAATGTAACTAGATTCTATTGTAGTGGATTCCTCCCCTACAAGCACCGAACCTTCTCGAATTCCCCAGCCTACGCCTCCAGCGCCGCCCACGGAGCGGGGGTCAACTATCTACCCACGCCTACCCCCGCCTTATAAGGCCTGACACCGCTGTGACCCCTCTCTTTCTACCCAGTGCCACAAGCAAGCAACACCTCCTCCTCCACGCCAGCCTGGCGGCTGCCGCTCCCACCAGCGACCTTGGCGTCCCTCAAGCCAAGTGTCCCTCTGGGCACCCTCACCACCCAGCTCTCTCTACTCAAGCTTATTAGAGGGCCCGGATAGTTATGCACTAAAAAACCATGAAATATGCATGCAAATATGCACTAAAAACAGGGGAAATATGCATTTATATGCCACTTATAAAGCCAAGAATGCAGGTTATACGGAAACAAAATAGAACAAGCCTTTCTCCTTATGATTTCCATCGTGTCCTTGAACAATTGTGAAACATAGTTCTTACGTAATGTTGATTCGTCAGGCACCTTTTTTCCAGTATACTGTTCCAGGAATGACTTTAGGCACTTGTTATTCAGTTTATGCAATGGAATATCCGCTGAAACAAATGCCTTGCACAAATCTGCGTTGAACTGGGAACGATCAGGCCCTGACTTACTGGAACATGCAAGAAGTAGTTGTTGCTCCTTTTGTGCACTATTGGACTTAACAGCTTCGAGTCGGATGTGCTTGCTTGTTTTAAGGTGTTGTTGGACTTGAAATTTCTTGCTCGCTGTCACTGGTGCTTCACAATATTTACAAAACAGTACACTTCCATCAGTAGTAAATGCATCAAATTCCTTTACATATGATCTCAGCACTTCATTTTGGTTTCTTTGTACTTTCGGCATTTTCACGAGCAGCAGAAGAGAGTAGCTCCACACAGCAGCACTGCTCCTGACTGACTAACTCACTAGTCCAATGAGTCATGAACCAGGTGTGGAAACGACAGATTAAAGCGACGTGACTTCACCTAACCACACCTCACCTCACCTCCCAGTACCACGTGTGCTCATTCAGTGGCAACAAAGAGATACTGCCAGATGAATATTTTACCAAAATATGCATTCATATGCAGTTATCTAGGTAATATGCACTTATCATAGAAATCACGCAAAATATGCATTTGCATATGAAATATGCAAATGCATAAGTTATTACCATGCTACCTACCCAGCAACAAGCTGCATTGTACATCCAATACAATATGTATACAGTGAGCACATTGTGAGTTTTCTTTCTCCATCCCATCTTGAGTGTGAACCAATATCTCATAACCCCACACTATAATGTCTCATTAAACATAACGAAGGGGAGTGTAAGGTAATTTCATTTCCTAACATATATGCTGTCAGTGAATATGATGTATTTCTTTGCGTATGAACCTCTGCCCTGCTTGGCAGTGAGCAGTGTCAAGACTTGACTGAATTACTCGGAATAGGCAAACTGTACTCCAGGCTTTGTCAATAAAATTGTTAAACTAAAAAAACTAGGGCTGAAGAGCCTCGAGGAGTTGGCAACACCGGTGATGTCAGTGATTCAGTCAGTGTGGCAAACTTGGAAAAAATCGCTAAATCTAGCGAATTAATCTTTTTTTTTTCAAAACATGGATGGCTAACACCATTTGCGGATAGCGGATTTTCTGGGGGCATTTTCATTGGATTTGGCGGAAGTTCTAGCGGATTTCGTATACATGATGATTATTAGTAATTAAAACATATTCTGTCCTCCCTCTGAAAATAGAAAAAAAAACTGAAATTTATAGTAAATAGAATACAGAGTAATCAGCAATCCAACTTCTCACATTGACCCCAGGGTATATTTAGGATACGAATTTTAAAAGATTTGCACCAACTCAAAGCTATCAGAAAAAGCGGAGCGTGATCTTCGCCAACGCTGCATATCTTGTTACCAGTCTCTGTAATGAGTTAAAACACAGACTTACTGATAACTTCAAACTCTTGAGAAAAATGTCAATGTTTTCAGTAGCGGAATGTCTCAGAGTTGTGAAGGAACAAATAGTAGAGATAGCTGAACTTTCTGGGTACCATCCCCCCAAAATGACCGAATTCACAATCGGTGGTGCAACTTAACAATTGTTAAATGGCACGAGACCACGTCAACAGTAAAATTTTGGATTGAGGTAAAAGATTACCAGGATGCTACAGGAGTAAATGCTTTTCGTGACCTCTGTATATTACCTCTCAGTGTACTCTCACTCCCTCACTCTAATGCTGAAGTCGAGAGACTATTTAACCAGCTAAATGTTGTTAAATCAAAGCTTAGAAATTGGTTGAATACAAGTTCGGTCTGTGTGATTATTACAGTGAATTTGAAAATATTGCCGTTCGTATGAACCGCCAAAACAAGTGGTAAAGCAAATAGGTACAATGGTAACATACAGTTCATCGACGTCAATAGCACCAGCAGCTGGTCCAAGCTCTTCTTCTAATACCCATGTCTATAGAGATTGAAAAGGAAGAAGAGGAAGGCATAATTTTTTCGCTGAACTAAGTGGGGAGTGCTTAACATTTGTATATTTACTTAACGTTTGCATATTGTTTAGGATACGTGCATAATATTGTGCTAAGCGGATTTCTAGCGGATTCTATAGGTTAATCTAGCCAATTTTCACCAACCACGTTTGGCATCACTCGACTCTTGTTGTTATTATCTGCTAGTAGCCTGGTATTGCTACCGTGAACACAAAGTTACACAAGGTGGGCTGGAGCTCCCCGAGGTTACTCCACCTACGGTAAGTGTCATGTATTTCATGTTTGTGTGAGTATCTGAAAAAGTGACGTGAGTGAATTTATAGTATTATAAGCTGGTAAAGATTAGTTTTAGTTGCACCACGGAAACTACAAACAAAAAATGGTTTTCCTACATTAGTGTATTTTGTGTTGTTTGAAACGAATTTGACTTTCATTTCCATCGCAAATGATCCGTAATGGAGATATGACCCCCCAATTACTGTACCATCAAAGCACATAGATACATAATTTTAGTGTCATATGACAAGCTTTTCTCTGATTTATTCTGCAATTTTCTTTAGCCTTCATACCCTGCCCGCTACAAGTGATTTATGATCGTAGATAGAGAAGGACAAAAAATAATTATGGTAAAAAATTCGTTTTTAACCCAATTTATACAACTATGCTGTTTACATAGGGAGAAATAGCAAAACAAAAAAGGCACTGGATATTTTGCCATGGCTGGCTAAGTTCCTTCTAACGCTGTTTTACCATGAGTGCGCTTTGATTGGCTAATCGTCCATTACCGGCGAACAACGTGAGAATGATATGTGACCGTGACTGGTTGCACTTGGCATTTATTTCGCCGTGAGTCGATTGTTGTGTAGCTATAAACAGACCTAACCAGAAGATGTTTTATTTTGTTCATTATTTCCTCAGATGTTCTTATTATAAAAGAGGCGACATTGGTTAATATATAGGACTAACCCGCCAGGACTGCACGGTCCGACTAATTACCCAAATGTACCCAAATGTAGCCGCAATTAAGTCAAATAATGGTCCTACATGAATAAATCGGACTGCCAATCACTTCTCGACTAGTATTTGGTGTCACAAAGTAAAAAATAATTGGAAAACTTACTTTAATCTAAGTTAATAGATCGCGTGCATGTACCGAGGGAGCGAGTAATTACCCAAATGTACCCAAATGTAGTCGCAATGAAGTCAAATGATGGTCCTACAAGCGTAAATCGGGCTGTGAATCACTTCTCGATTATTGGTGTCATAAAGTCACAAAAAATTGGTAAACTTAATTTAATCTGAGTTGTGTTAGGTTAGGTACGGTACTTGCACTCGATCTATTAAATCAGATTAAATTAAGTTTACCAAATTTTTGTGACTTCGTGACACCAAATACTAGTCGAGGTGAGGTTAGGTTAGGTTAGGTACATGCACTCGATCTATTAATTCAGATTAAATTAAGATTACCAATTTTTTGTGACTTCGTGACACCAAATACCAGTCGAGAAGTGATTGGCAGTCCGATTTATTCTTGAAGGACCATCATTTGACTTCATTGCGGCTACATTTGGGTAATTACTCGCTCCCTCCGTACATGCACGCGATCTATTAACTCAGATTAAATTATGTTTTCCAATTTTTTACTTTGTGACTCCAAATACTAGTCGAGAAGTAATTGGCAGTCCGCTTTATTCATGTAGGACCATTATTTGACTTAATTGCGGCTACATTTGGGTACAGTTGGGTAATTAGTCGGACGCGGGCTGCATAGCGCCGATGCGGCTGTATCATCTCATGTCCAGAAAATGCCTAAAATTTCCCCATATAAGTAGGATGTTCTTTCTATTTAATATACCGGGAAGTTGGGTAATGTTAGGTAGGTCTGTTTGGTTGGTTAGGTCTGTTCTTTGTAGCCACAAATGTTAAGTAGCTTTTATTATAAAAATATCCATTTTTAAACATATTTCCACAAACTACAACAGTGTCCACTATAATATAACAATGAAAATCCGGCTATTTCATAATTGTTTTCAATCAATTTTGCTTGCGGGTTAGTCCTATATAATTACCGCGACATTTGCTAGATCCTAATAAAACCTGACCTAACCAACCAAAGAAACCTACCTAACCTTACCCAACTTCCTAGCTGAGGTGTGGACCCATCATATTAAACAGAAAGTACTTAGGCAAGCAGATCGCACTCACAGTAAAATAGCATTAGTAGGAACTTAGCCGGTCACGGCAAAATACCCCCAAAAAAAAAAAAACTTTATTTAAAAACAAATTCTGGTGCAAATTTACATCTTTCGAGTATTTTAAATGATAAGACCTACCCAATTACCAACAATATTGGCTGCTAAAAGTGGGCATTGCTTTCAAGTAGAGGGGAAATGCTAAAAAAGACACCAAAGTAACCTTTGAAAACTTTACTAAACCTATTAAAAGGTTAAAATTGCTTTCAAGTTCATGGATCCCCCCCTCCCACTCATCTGAACACCGAAAACTACACCAGCACATTAAACACCGAAAATAAGAATGTGGTAAGTGCTTTATAGTTTTAAGATTTTAATAGGTTAGGTAAGGTTTTTAAAAGTTTGTTTCAGATTCTTTTTTATTTGTTTACGCCCCACATTTTATCTCTACAAAAAAACCCAGCCTACTGTGAACGACTAATGTTGTTGGTAATTTTATCTGTTAAAACATTCAAAAAATATAAATTTGTACTGGATACACGAGAGAATAAAGTATTTTTCCTTCTGTTTTTATAGCTTACGAATTGGGGATATTGGGATAAAAAATTTTTTTTACCTAAATTAAAATTTTTTTTATTAGTTTTTATAAGTTACTATGGTAAATATTGACAACTAACCCACCGACGCATTATTTGTTTTGATGTTAATCATTTCGTTTGCAAATGCCTCGTTTGGTATATAATTGGCGTCTAGGTACGCACTACTTTGCTTTTCTCAGCGGTGACGCTGCATCCCAAATGTAAACAGCCAATCATAATGACGTATTTCAAAACACTCCGCCACTCTCTGTTGGCGCCCCTGTCTCAGTGTATGCTTATGAGCTGTACAGTCATGGTGGCTGTTCTCACGTTCACAAAAAAAAGAAGTAATTATTGACAACTGACCTGCTACTGATTTTTCATAAAAAACGATTATAAGATTGCTGTAATTTCACTGTGATTTATAGTGGACACTAGCAGTTTGTGCAAATTTGTTAAAAAGTGGTTATTTCTAAATTAAACATAACCTAACATTAGTTGATAAGAGAAACAAGTGGCAGAAACATTGTTAGAAGACCTCATGAACCTAACCAAACAAACCTACCTAACCTTACCTAACTTCCAAGCTGTGGGGCTCTGCCCCCTGGACCCCCAGTATTTCGGTCCGACTAATTACCCAAATGTATCCGCAATTAAGTCAAATAATGGTCCTACATGAATAAATCGGACTGCCAATCACTTCTCGACTAGTATTTGGTGTTACAAAGTAAAAAAAAATTGGAAAACTTACTTTAATCTGAGTTAATAGATCGTGTGCATGTACCGAGGGAGCGAGTAATTACCCAAATGTAGTTGCAATGAAGTCAAACGATGGTCCTACAAGCGTAAATCGGGCTGTGAATCACTTCTCGATTATTATTTGGTGTCATGAAGTGACAAAAAAATTGGTAAATTTAATTTAATCCGAGTTGTGTTAGGTTTGGTTAGGTTAGGTTAGGTACATGCACTCGATCTATTAAGAACATAAGAACATAAGAAAGTGGGATACTGCAGGAGGCCGACTGGCCCATACAGGGCAGATCCCTTTCACACCCATCCCAGCACTTCCATGTGCCTATCCAACTTCGTCTTGAAGCTCCCTAGCGTCCCCGATCCTACTATAGCACTCGGTAGCCTATTCCACATATCCACAACTCTATTACCAAACCAGTGCTTGCCTATATCCTTTCTGAATCGGAATTTATCTAATTTAAAGCCATTTGTTCTAGTTATTTCGTTATTACTGAGCTTCAGAACATCTTCCATTTTACCCTTGTTAATCCCACTTACCCACTTGTACACCTCTATCATATCTCCCCTAACTCTACGCCTCTCTAATGAATGTAAGCCTAAGCTTTTCAGTCTTTCTTCATATGGAAGGTTTCTAATATTATGGATCATTTTTGTCATTCTTCTTTGTACTCTCTCCAAAGAATCTATGTCCATTCTATAATAAGGACACCAGAACTGAACCGCATAATCCATGTGTGGCCTCACTAATGCTAGGTAAAGTTTCAAGATAACGTCAGCAGTTCTGTTACTCACAGACCTAGATATGAACCCAAGAATCCTGTTTGCCTTGTTGCGAACGCTAATACATTGTTTTCTAGGTTTCAAGTCGTTGCTAACAAATACACCTAGATCTTTTTCAAACTGAGTTTTCTATTTCCGTGTTACCTAGTTTATACTTAACGTTTGTATTCGTCTTCCTATCTGTAGTACCTTGCATTTATCAGTATTAAAATTCATTTGCCAGTCTACTGACCACTCATGTAAGGTATCTAGATCTCTTTGAAGGTGTTCAAAGTCACTGTCTGAATTTATCACTCTCCCATTTTGGTATCATCTGCAAATTTACTAATCCTACTAGTTATGCAAATCAAGATCATTAATGAATATAACAAACAGCAGAGGGCCTAATACAGATCCCTGGGAACTCCGCTTTTGACCGCACCCCAGTCTGACTTTAATCCATTTATGCTGACTCTTTGTTTCCTACCAGTTAACCATGACCTAATCCATTTTAATACTGATCCACCTATTCCATGTGCTTCTACCTTCCTTATCAATCTCTCATGAGGACTCTATCGAATGCTTTACTGAAATCTAAATAAATTATATCATATGACTTATCATTATCTACCGCTTCAAATACTTCTGAGAAAAAGCTAAGCAAATTTAGAGACAAGAACGTCCCTGGGTGAACCCGTGCTGAGAAGAATGAATTAAGTTGAATGTTTCAAGGTGGCTTCTGATTTTGTAGCAATAATTGACTCTAGCAACTTGCCTATGATTGACGTGAGACTAATGGGACGGTAATTTGATGCTATTGATTTATCACCCTTTTGAAAATCGAACTACATTTGCAAGTTTCCAAGCTTCTGGCACTAGGCCGATTCTAATGACTTATTAAATAAAACTGCTAATGGATTACTCAACTCATCTCTACATTCTTTTAATATTCTAGCATATACCTCGTCTGGACCAGGC